TGTAAATAAATACGCTCAAGTGCTACAATCACGTGAAGATTGTGCGAATAATCGCGGGTCACTTACGAGTCGGAACCACCTATAGTGGTCTGTACGAAAGGCCTGTGCACGTACTTTGGATCCAAGGTGAGCGTAAGGTGCGAGAGGTGAACATCACGTAAAGGACTATGCCCTGGCCACGGGCGGGAGCACTAACACCAGAGTGCAGGTATATGAGCTCTAAGTGCATCTCATGTGACATATACAACTCATAGGCAACTTGTACAACAATGTCGGAGTTACCTAAAACATAATGTGATCATGCCATAACTCAATCATCTCAACTAATACCATAACTTACCTGAACTTACTTGTGTGTTCCACGTTCATCTTCGCACTTCAAAGCATTAATAATTTTGTGTAGGTAGTATACACATGGATATGCCATAATGCAAATCTAAAACTCAACCATATCATAGTATTTTTCCAATATATACATACATATATATAATGTGGTGTAAAATGCACAATCTATAACGCCTTACTCCCGAATTATTTATTTTCGGAAATAATTATCGGGAATAAGTCCAACTAAACACTAGTTTAATTAACTATTATTACTTACGTTTCCTTATTTCAGTTTCTTGATTCCTTCCACATTGATTTATGACCAACATCCAATCACTTAAAACATAAGGTTAAATCACATATTTTCACCAATTTCCTTCACATTGCTCAATTCCCAAACAAGGTTTTTGTTTCAAATATTGTATGGCTACATCTAACGTCTCGTTGGACGGCCTATGTACCCTAAACAAAAGATCAAGCCATTCGTAGTTCACATTAGTACTTCAAAGCATTCACAACAATTATATGTAGGAAATAAGCATAAATCAATTAAAAACGTTTGTGGAATTATTAATCATACGTGTGTGTATATATATATACACGATAGAAAGGAAAAGACCCACTCACCTGAGGTCTGCTCTATGACTCCCTAGCACGCATATCGAGACATCACGAACCAATGTTGCCTAGAACAATTATCAAATCACGTCTCAGAGTTCTTACCAATAGAATACATAATTTACATAAAACATATCCCTATGTAGTTCAATTCGGAAGATCTGCATCACGGATTTCCGATCCATTGCTTCTAGAGATTCACATTATACTTTTAGAACAACTTCCTAAGGTTTCATTATGATCCAACAGTCGGATCTCAGCCAATTGCCCAAAATCAAGTAGCGGTCAACATTTTATTTTATGAATTTACAAATACAATTCGGGGAGATTCGTACGTCAAATTCCTGATTCGTAAGTTTCTATGGTTCTCAAATATTACGTATTATAACATATTAAAGTTTGGTGATGATCAAACGGTCGGATCGCCGATTCATATAATGACCTATTAACGTAACGTAGAGAATTTAGATTCTAACAATCAACCTCCGTCCTACAATTATCAAAACTTAACTCAAAGCATCTAGTTAGCCTAAGAATAACATTGACGGCCCCCTGGCCACCCGCCGCCGGGGGTGGCAGTCGGCCACCCTGACTTGCCAGAAAATTCAACTATTTTTAAAAATTCTCAAAAATTACATAAATGAAGATCTCAAATAGTAGAGCAAACTTTATACCTGTGATTAAGGCTAGTTTGGCTGGGAAAAACTTCAATTTCATGAAAATCCACCAGAACCCTAGAATTTGGGTGAGCTTCGATTCACCAAATTTGCCACTCCACTATCCCCAACTTGTTTGGGGTTTTCTCCTGACCTTAAGAGAAGTTGAATGAGGGTGGTGGTCAATGGTAATAGCGGCACAAACGGCGGAACGCCGCCATAATACCTACGTACCCACTGGTGAAATTTCATGAACCCTAGGCCTAAAATCCACCAATTAATGGATGAAAATGGAAGATGGGAGGTCGTGGAATGGTTTCCAGGTGGTGACTTGGCTTAATTCCTTGAAAATTGGCCGGGAAACCATCGATTTCATGGCTTTCGCCGATCGGGTTTTACGGGTCAAGGGAGACCCCGTTTGGTTTCTCTCCTCTTCTTCTTCTCTCCTTTCCTTCTTGATCTCCTTCCTAATTGGTTCTTCACTCTCCTCTATACTCCGATTGGCCTTCTTTCCTGATTGGGCAGTGCCCTTTTTCTTTCTCTCCCCTATCCTTTGCTGCTATAAGGCAGCCCTCATTCCTTTTTTTTTTCCAACCACATCCCTTAAAATAATAACAATAATAATTCATACACATCATCAACTAGTGATCAACGGAAATCAATACCCTCGCCTCTAGGGTATTCTCGTAAATTCACCTTTTAAAATTTATAAAATAATAAAATTTGGGACGGGTTGTCACAATGCAATCCAACTTGAGATTTTTTCATATCAATGTGATGTTTTTTACTACATGTATCTATATGATTCAATAGGTTTTTCGTCCCACAATTACTATCACATACGTAAACTATCCCACAGTTTTTACACTTCGCATGTTGTTTATTATCAGGACCAACAAGCAATTCTTCAAACAAAGTCCAATCACGGGATCTCTTTTGACGTATCTTACCTACTCGCATACCTTTAGCCTTTCTCTTTGAAGGACTCGGTGCACTTATTGTATCTTGTGTATCACTTAGATTGAATGTTGACATTTCCATGACCTAAGTATTCTCTTCATCAATATCCATCTGCACTAACCATAAAAGAATAAACTTAGTAATCTGTAATTGCAATTGATTTGAGTTCATTTTTATAGTGGGGATGTTATTAATATGTTAGTATACGAGATGCACCTTGATTATGGGATTTAATGTATACGGGATGTACAAATCCCAAATCTTTCAAGCATTTTATCAGAAAACTTTTCACACAATTCACAACAAATTGCAAATTGAATCCGAAAAATTGGAGATACACATATGAATACTAACAACATATGAATAATAACAAGCTGAGATGCAATTTGAGAGCATAAAAGAAAACACTACTATACTCAAAAGAGAGATTCTGATACATGTCAATACACCATGCCAAAAAACGAAAAGAAGAATACAAGACTCTTGATGATGAAAACATTAATGTCTATAAGGAAATGGCATGCTATCAAGTTCTAATCCTTTGGCTTATCTAGTTACAGTCCAAACTAAAGATTTAACAGTTCAAAAACACAAAGAATCAAATCAACAAACTAAAACTAACTATTATATATATTTTTCCTAAAGCAAGTCATGTCCTCTGAAATTCCAAATTCAAAAGTGAAGTGCTTTTGTTCAGGACCTTTCCTCTTACTCTCCCGATCTCCCCCTACACTACATTAGCCTAACGCCTCCTTTTTTTAAAACCAATAGTCTGATAATTGGAAGTTTGACCAAGGCCAGTTTAAAGTGATGTGCTTTTGTATTCATATGCTGTTAATATATGACAAATGTGAAGTGCTTTTGTTCAGTATTCATATGTTGTTAATTAGAAGTTTGACCAGGATTCATATGCTGTTAGTAGATTGATCACATTTCAATCTAAACAGGAACCCAAATATTAGATATGGACATTAGCTCAAATATTATATTAGTTTGGGTTCCGGAAAATAAGCAAATATTGCTCAAATATTTGGCTAGTTTAAAAGTGTAGTGCTTTTGTTCAGTATTCATAAGTGATCAAGGCCACCACCGGTTTTTCTGATAAAATGCAAAAACAACAGCATTCTATGTCCTGCGATTTGTTAAACATAATGCAGAGACCTAATCAATGCATGTTCTTTCTCTTGGCGACAATCGACATCAGCCTCTAAACTAAAGATTTAACCAATGCAGAGACCTAATCAAAGACAATCGACAGCAGCCCCTAAACTTAAAAAAAACAAACAATATTCGGGAAATAGCTCCTTTGTTAAACATAATGCAGAGACCTAATCAATGCAAAAACAACAGACATAATGCAAAAACAACAACCCAAATTCCAATCCAAAAACCAACCAAAACAAAGCAAACTCAATACTTTTAACTTCATGGGGGTAAATTAACAGCTCCAATTTACCCAAAAATGAAAATTTTAATTGGAGAATATACAAATAAACAAATTTTACACAAAACCCATGAACAAAAAACGAAACCCAATATACAAAACAAAAAAAACAAAAAAAAAAAAAACCGAAAAGGGTCTCTTCTGGAAACTTCATCATGATGCCTCTAATTTTTTTTGTTCCCTGACATGATAAAACAGTTGCATTTAATGTGGCAATTGATATGTTAAGAGTAGCATTATATACATCACATTTGTCACGGTATGTGGCACACTAATGTGACAGCTGACAAGGGTTTATAACATCCACATTGGTGCACCCATCTAACGTGGTTGTTGATATATAAATATTATATATGTCAATTAATGAATTTCTCTAATTAGATGTTAGTTATGTATATCATTTGTTGATCTAAAAATATAATCTCCATAGTATTACATATAAATAATGACATAATAATTGTTTTATCGTCTTTAGTTGATACACAAACACACACACACCCACAAAAGAGCTTAACACACACCCACAATAAAGCTTAACTGCTGAATTAATATGACATTAATAACTTATTTAGGGCCATGGTTCCACTTCACAACTATCATTTCATTATCCAAGCCGTTCATTATTTTAGATCATTGTTTAATTAAAGATTACCTTGGAAAATAATTAGCCAAATCAAACAACATTTAGCTATGCAATCAAACAAATGGACGAATGAATAACAATCAAATGGTGAAATAGTTTATGATTTGACTAATTTTGTGCATGTGTGATCTCTGAATGATGACAAATGATTGATTTTGATCATGATCAAACGAGTGGTTAGTGTAGTATTAATCTATTAACCTGTTACCACTTAAGTATAAATTCATCTATATATAATATATATGTGTGTGTGCCCTTCTGTGTTTCTACTTACTGTGTTTTGCGTCAAAACGCCGTACACATCCTCTTCAGACCATAACCTGCTTCTCTTTCCAGGTTCATCCGGCGACTCTCAGCGAACTATTTCTTTACCCATATCTTCTAGGACTTCGGTCATCCAAACACGATTTTCTTCAATTTCGATGAGGGCATTATCTAAGAGTACTCCAATAGTAAGCTGTGGACTATAGTGATAACCTTCAATTATTTTTATCAGAGAGTCCTTATCTTCACCTTTTAAGAAAAAAGCAATGTCCAGGAAAACATTTTTCTCTGATTCCTCTAGCGCATCTAAACTTATTTTGAGAATGTCGTGAATTTCTCGGTTGAAAAATCTCCTGTCTAATGGAGCTTTCCATTCGTCTGTACTTCGATGACGCATAAATGCACCGAAAACTACAAGAGCTAATGGAAGCCCTTGAGCATAGCTTGATGCAGTAATTGCGGTTTGCATACAGTCATCTGGCATTCTATCAATGCTATTGTTGAAGGCATGGCAGCTGAAGAGCTCCAAAGCTTGAACAGGATCTAAATTCTTGACCTTGTATATAGGGTGAATTCCGTGAGCAGTTAGCAAACGCCTATCTCAGGTTGTTATGATAATTCTACTTCCGGAACCAAACCAATCACAATTTCCAACTTATGAGTCTAACTGGCTCAAATCATTCACATCATCGAGAATTAAGAGAATCTTTTTATGCCCCAACCTTGCCTTTATCATACTGATCCCTAAATCAATATTTGGCACCTTCAAAGATTCCGATCCATCTACCCTTAGCCTTAGAAGGTCTGAAATAAGCAAGTTTTGTAGTCGAACAAGGCCTCCAGGACTCATTGAAATTTCTCTAACATTTGCCAAAAAACAACTCCCTTCAAACCGCTGGGCAACAGAATTATAAACAGCTTTAGCAATTGTTGTTTTACCTATTCCAACAGGTCCCCATATACCTACCATGCGAACATCACCATTCTCAAGATCTAGAATCTCATGGATATCTTGCACTCGAGAGGCTAATCCAACTTGGTATTTTGCCACATGCAGATAGGTACGATTTACTATTCGTGCTGATACATCTTCAACGATGTTCTTGATAAGCTCTGATTCAGGCCTGCCAGTTCATTACATAAATTCAAATTCAGTGAATGAAAAGAGGGTTTGTCAACTTTTTGCCCCCCTTTCTGCCAATGTTGCCCTCACTTTTGAATACACAATGTTGATATGAGGAGGGCAAAATAGTTATTTTCTATCTTTTGAACCTTTTCCCCTTTTTTCCCTATTTTGCCCTCATTTTTTATACACAATATTTACATAAGGAGGGCAAAATAGTAATTTTATATCGAAATATTTACATAAAATAAAAAATATGCACTTATTAAGAGAAATTGTCACACTATCATTTTTTCATACACATAAGTGAAATCATGATGCTTTTTGGATAATTTGAATGAACTGAAGTGGTTGCGCTTGAGGAGAACAACGTGAGAGGAGGTTGGCGGTTGAAGAAGCTTTAATTTTGTACCTGTTTGGGCCCAAAATAATAGTTTGGGCCGAGTATAGAATCATTCTCGGCCCGGAAGGCCTTGCGACAAGAATACCATGGATCGTTTAGTACGTGGGCCTCCAAACCTAGGTCGGCTAGGTCATAACGCAAGAAGTCGAGTCCTAATGCAATGAGGAGTCTCGGCAAGACCCGGAAGCGAATCCGGCTCGGTTAAGGACTAGGTTCACAATCCTAGTGAAAGTAGGACTGGTCGAGTTGGTGCTGATCAGGAGAAGAAGACCTAGTCCGAGTAGGTTTTTAACTCGACATTGGGGGGAGCCGTTGCTATAAATAGAAGAGACTGCGCATCATTGAAGACCCCTGCAAATCAATACAAAACTGCCCTGCGCAAACTCATTAACTTGAGATTTTTTCTTTCTTTTTCGCTGACACATCTTCCGTTGGCATCAACAGCACTGTGGAAGCAACCGGTGATATCTTAAGTCGGCATAGATAGCTCTGTCACCGTAGAATCAGCCGGTCTCGCAGCATCTTCCGTTGGCATCAACAGCACTGCGGCAAGGACGGTTGATTACCTATCCAAGTCTCGGTCGAGAAGGATTTCCGAATCCTTATTGGTCGAGGTCATCTCATCAGCCTTCTCGGCAAAGTGAGGTGTTACAGTTATTACATTCGGCACATTGAGAGCCGAATTTGATATTGAACTTCGTAAGAATAGTAACCTTGTCTTCAGGTTCGAGAGCCCAAAAGGCCGAGACGTGTTCCTTTCTCGGCCGCAATCGCAAGAAGCAGAAGTCAGCCGCGCACCCAATGCAACATCAACAAAATTTACTCCTCGGTCGAGCTCGGCCAACGAGTTGGCACGCCCCGCATTCACCGAAGGACGTAGTTAGCTTATAGATTACTCGGCCTGCGCGCCACGTAGGCTTGGTAGTTTCTAGGGTCAACATTTTGGCACGCCCAGTGGGACCCAGTGCTAGACTACGAAGTTCATGCCAATTGAAACACGATCGGTAAAAAAGAAAACAGCTATGGGAAAGTCGACAGCCGATCTACCAAATCAGAACGCAGGACACCATGTGCCACAAGCGCAGAATCCCATTAGCGCCGTGACACCTGAGTCCACGAGCGCAACTCGCCGAGAGAGGGAAGTCAATCTCGACGGTCAGGTTCGCAGTCTTGAAATTCCAGACAGGAACACTTGCGTTCTTAATGAAGGAGTAATAGAAGATTGTGATGAGGATGGTGGCGAAGGATCCGATCCACCCACAAGGTCGTTTCTTCGAAAACGGCTTGACGAGCAATCTCGGACAGTTGAACAGACATTGAGTCGAGGAATCGATAAGCTTCATGACGTGATACGCAATTCCAATGAAGCACAAACCAGATTACTCGAAATACTGGTTAGTAAGGTCAGCGATGGTAGAATTTTCGATCTAGCCCAGCATTTGCCGCCGAGGAATAATCTGTTATCAAGTGCACTGACCGAGCCAATTCCTGCTCGGCTCAGACCGCTCCAATTGGAAAGAGGAGGAGGGTCGAATAGTAGGTGAGACGGATCCGACCAGAGAGCGGAAGTAACGCCCGTCGATCTGACCGATGTTCAACGGATGATCGATTCGGCCATGAAGAAAGGGCCAAAGTTCCCTAAGTTTATACACCCATACCTAGCTTACGTGGAACAGGTCGAATACCCTAGAGGTTTCAAGATCCCGGATTTTAGCCTTTTTACCGGAGAATCATCCTTATCCTCGTTGGAACATGTAGCTCGTTTCACCGCACAGTGCGGAGACGTTAATAATGACTTTCACAAGTTGCGACTTTTCAATTTTTCGTTGACCGGCTCAGCGTTCGCCTGGTATATTAACCTCCCACCGAACTCCGTCCAGAGTTGGGAGGAGTTGGTCGAGAAATTTCATGAGCAGTTTTATCGACCGGGAATGGAAATGTCAGTATCCTCACTAGCAAGGATGGCTCAGGCGTCTGACGAGTCACCAATGGATTATCTTACTAGATTCAAATCAGCTAGAAATTGGTGCCGAGTGCCTCTCCCCGAAGTTGAATTCGTCAGACTTGCTCTGAACGGTCTTGACGTCGAATACAAAAAGAAATTCTTGGGGGCAAACTTTCGGGATATGTACGAATTAGCCCAGCATGTCGAGCAGTATGATTATTTGCTCCGCGAGGAAAAGATTTCGAAAGCTCCATCTCGGGGGACGATTTACAAGAATCCTACTGTCAGTAATGCATCAACCGAGGATGAATGCGTTAGTGTGGATGCAGCTGAGATAGTGATAGACAAGCCATACGTCTGCAAGGCACTGACTCAAGTTGATTCTAAGGAAGTCAAACCCGCTTGGCTACTGAATGAGCACTGAAACCGTCGAAAGTTTATACTTTTGATATTACAAAAGCCGACGCAATTTTTGATCAACTATTATCAGCAAAGATCATCAAACTTCGACCTGGGCACAACATTCCCAAGGCCGAAGAGCTTAAAGGGAAGATATATTGCAAATACCACAATTCAAGCAAACACACGACAAACAATTGTGTCGTGTTTCGAGACAACGTCCAAAGCTGGATTGATAATGGCAAACTGAAATTTCCAGAGAAGAAGATGAGTGTTGATACTGACCCGTTCCCCACGGCAACAGTAAATATGGTCGATGCATGCCTCCCTAAAGACAAAGGGAAAGGGAAGGCCGAAGATGTTGCGACGCAACGCTTTCGGAATCAGAATTCTCGGCCGCGTTTCATGGCCGATTTTCGTTCAAACAAACCGCCTACAGCTTTAACGGGTCCCGCTATTGTCAAACCTATGATAGATTATACCACCGATGAAGACAATGGGACAACGGTTTTGTGCAGTAAATGTAGAGCAAAGGTCGGCAGTGAGCCAGAGGGGAAGCCCTCTTCGCTTATAACGGAACGACCTACGGCCGCAACCCAGCAGAAGGTTGCCGATGTAGGCCAACATCAGGGGGTTTTTGATAGGCTCGGTCCTAAAGTGAGGATGGAAGAGGCACCCTCAGTCAGGCGGCGTCTTGATTTTAATGCTTCATTTTACGATGAGGACTACTATAAACGTAATTCTAGCAGTTCGGAGTCATCGCGGAGCCAAAAGACTTTCAAACCTCCCAAACCTAGCGATCAACGTTGGTATACATATCATTCTTCGAAAGGCGTTTACACTGCACTGTCCAAATCCCAGAAACGCTGGCACCAAAGGATAGATTGCATGGCCCGCCGACAAGCGGCCCAAGAAACTTCGACTCCTTAATGGCGGCCGAAGGACACAATTGTTACTGATGATGAACGACCACCTCCAGTTATTATGACAGAGTTGGTTCAAGGGAAACGGCTGGTCAACCGAGATATTGAAACCACGTTCGAAGAGGCTGATAAACGGATCAAACTTCTTCTTCGGCCGGGGGAGATGAAGGCACGCCTCGAGCATTTCAGGCAAGAGGCCGAAAGCAAATTAGCCCCGCCGGCCACACAAGAACCTTTGGTTAAAATTCGACGGAATTTGCACCCACCGTTCCTCGGGGAGGCTTTGGAGTACATGCGAGAATTCCATAAGAAACATTCGGCCAATGATCTGTATGGCTTGCCAAAGGCATGTCAGGATACAATTGATTTAGTCCTGATTTGTCCTGATGCCGAGCGAATCATTCAGAAGACCTCAGACCCAGGATTGAAAGCAAGATTCCAGCACATACGAGAAGCTCGTGTCCTTGGATTTGAAGTCGACCCCTACACTGATATCGATGTAGCCGACCTTCCGTTCTCAATGGAGGACCTTCAATATTTACGATATCACTTCAAAGTATTTTCAGCTGTTTCTCTCTTCGGCCTTACGACTGATGAAATAGCATGTTGCGCGATTGAATGCTTATCTCGACACCAGGGATGCCCGGATACACTACCAAGAGCAGGCTCGGATTTTGACTCCAAGCACACTGACGACTCCAGCCTCACTTGAGGCAATCACGCAGAACCAACAAGCTGCCGAAGCAACAACACAGGATCAAACCCTTGAAGAAGGAGCAGGAGAATCTTTTTGTCCAACTCTGACAACAACGGAAGCTGTAGTCGCCGACCAGACGAAAGATGAGGATAACGAAGAGGATCCTAACCCGATGGGCCCATCCATCTTGGATAACATGGAAATCAGTATGGTCCATGTGTTACCCGCTGCTTTTCAATCCAGCACAGCTCAGCCAAATTTCCCCGATGGTGATGTAGTCGCCGAGGAAGCCGGCCATGTTAATTTCATATCCGTTGCTGAAGTTGACTCTACAACAAAAGATGACAATATCAAAGCAGCTTTGGCCGAATTATTTCCTCGTTCACCATCGGCCAACCTCCATCATTTAAAGCCATTGTATGTGACAGCCCATATCGAGGGATATCCAGTTTCTAAAGTTTTTGTCAACTGTGGAGCTAC